TTCATTGAACGATGGGGGTCATCATTACAGCTAAGGATAGGAGTAGCTGATATTCCTTTATGAAAGAAATATGCTATTTGTTTATCTTATTTAGCCTCAATAATCCTAATATATAAGGTCAAATCACTTTGAAGTTAGGTGGGTCAGATAGATTGGTCAGATAATAATTTGTATATCATTGTTCATACTATTGATTTTTTGTTTGTTTATTTTTAGAATTGTGATAATTTACATGTGAATCTGTATGTGATCTGGGCTTATGATTCACACACATATATACCAGTTTGTATTTGTTAAAGATTGTAGATCAACGCATGCCTGGCTGTGATTGGCAAAACATTTACAGTGCAATTTCTGATCTCAGTTGGTTTACTCACTTAATGATCATGGACTTTATCAGGGGTTGATTAGTTTCTTTTTTTTTTTTATCCTCACCGGAGGACATTTTTCCATTTTTTGTTCAGATAGAGTGGGAGGGGGAGAGAGAGAGAGAAACATCGATGTGAAAGGGACACATCAAATGGCCACCACCCGCACGACCAACAAGGGCAGGGGACAAACTGCAACTGAGGTACGTGCCCTTAGCGGGAACTGAACCCGGGTCTCTCTGGACCGCAGGTCGACACTCTAACCGCTGAGCCAAACCGGGCAGGGCAGTTTCTTAAATGGTATTTGTAGCCTAGCGAAGTGCACTTGTTTAGTCAAGGAAATATTTGCAAAGTGTATATTGCTTTTACTCTCTTTCCTACTTGGATCCCTCCAGCCCCCTTAAGTAAGGATTTCCCCCCTTCCTCCCCCCCGGACTGAATCCCTGAAACTGAGTGTATATATAGCTGAGAAGAAGCCGGGGCTAGGAAATCTGAGGCAAGGATGAGAGTGTAAGAGAGAGGATTTAATCAGAGAATGGGCAAGGCCTGGGGACGCTGCTGTGAGCAGTATGGGATCATGGATCCACAGGACTGGAAGGCAGAGTCAATAGACAGGTGAAATGAGGCAGCAAGCAAAAATCAGGGGCACAGGAATGTTGGAGTTTGGTGGGCACAAAAGTTAAAAGTAAGGACAAGTCCAGAGCGTATGAGGCATCAGTCTACAGAAATTGAAAGAGCTGTGACACCGTCCGGGCAGCAAGCTTGGAACATGAGAACTGAAGTTCTTTGATATCTCAGTGCAAGTTGTGCTCTCGCCAAGAGCTTGTAAGGCATTCCCTGTTAGGACAGAAACCAGGCCCAGCGTGTGGGCCCCCAGAGCCCACTTGTAAAAGCAGGTCATGGGTGTGTCTGCCTGGAAGGGAAAGGGAGGTGGCCTGGGAGGGTCCTGACACCTAAGGAGAGAGGTTAAGGACATGTGGCAACGCAGGCATAATCACCGCTTTGCTGAGCGTAGTGTATTCCATGACTCACGGCCTTGGTTGTAACACACCCATGTTCCAGGCAGTAAAACCGCCCCTGAGCTGGGAATGAATAAAGGGCTCTTAGTGGTTCTGTTCCATCCCAGATGATCAGCAAACCTTTTATCTCCACAAGTTTTTATAGCTCCGTTCTCCTTTCTCTGCCCATTAACCCAGAAGGCAGTGTAGAGGAGCTAATATAAAGATCCTTTGACTTAGAAGCTGCCAAATAGTTTGCATTCTATATAAAAATCTCAGTTCTCTTTTTTGGGTTTTTCATAGCACATACACAAAAAAAAATCTGTGAAGAAATACATTGGAATAAATAATACAAGTGAAGGTTAATTCATGAGAAAAATGTAACTTGCGATCATGTATGTAGTTTTGGTGTGAATTAGAATATACATTTAGATATATAATAAATATGTCAATGCATGCATATAGTATAAATACATGTGCATGAGTTTATATTGCTTAGAAATTTCTGAGGATGAGGAGATTTCCAATTATTAATTCTTTTTTTTTTTTTTTAATCCTCACCCGAGGAGATATATATTTTTTCCCATTTATTTTCACACAGAGTTGGAGGAAGGAAGAGAGAGAGAGAGACATCAATTGGTTGCCTCCTGCACAATCCCCAGTTGATCAGGTCCGGGGATCGAACCTGCAACCCACGTACATGACCTTGACAGGAAATCAAACCTGTGACCCTTGGGTCTGAAGGCCGATGTTCCAACCCCTGAGCCAAACTGGTTAGGGCAAGACTCACTTCTAATCATACATCTCTTTGTCAAATATTTAGTTTTTAACTTATTTCATGTATACATTTGCGGGTAATTATAGGATTCACTTAGTGTTTATTTTTAATCACTTTATTGTATGGTGATGTAACATTTTGATTATGATTCTCTTATTTTTGACCATTTGGGTCAATATTTTTATTTTTCATTAAAAATGTCATTGGTGTGAACATTTTTTTAAACACATTATTTTTGGGTTGTTTTTATTAGGCATTTTCCCCAAAGTGAGATTAACAAGTCAAAGGGCGGGAACAATTCTGTAGCTTGTGTACATATTGCCAGATTGTTTTCCAGAAAGACTGAGTTGCTGTGCCTCTGTTGATATGTAATGAACGGTCCCAGTTTTAGAGAGTTTAGGCAGTCTGAGCACACGAGAAGTATAATTACATTTCTACCCCAAGGCCTAGCTGTATGGACAGCTCACAAGTAAACTGATATGTGGACTGTGAAATAACTGATAAAGCAGGTAGCTAGTATTTTCTTCAGAATGTGGAGCCTTCTTTAGGGCTTTGGGGCTGGAGAACATGCTGTACCACCCTTCTGGACAAGTGTGGTACTGTGATCTCTGTGAGATACCATGGGCAGACAAGGGACAGGACAGCGAGGCCCCAGCATTTCTGCCAGTGAGGTTATCAGGCCCCGAATTCTGGATGGCTTCTTGGATGTTAAGGGCGTGCAGGTGGGCAGTGAAGGAGAGGGGATGTCCAGGGGGCGCACTGGGGCCACCAGTCATTGAGCCATGTATGACCTGGGTAGCTGCTGACTGAAGGCCGTTCTCATTGAAAATGTCAGCTCAAGGGTGTTGGGTGATTTTTTTCCTTTGTCACAGCATTATTAATTTTATAATGGAAGCGGCTAGAGATTACAGATTCTGTAGAATTCTGTTCCTTCTGTAAGGATATAACTTGCCTGGTCTATGAAGTTTCCTTTGCCCTGTTTCTGACAAGGGAGAAACTTAGAACTTTCCCTGAGAAGTGATTTCTGTCATTGCTCTCCTACGTGCTAATATAGCATTGCACCTTTGCCAGCTTCCCCAGTGACTTGCAAAAATTGTGAAACTCAAATACAGTACATGTAACAACACGTTACAGAACTGGGCCTGGAGGGTACTGCAGAGAGCAAATATATTTCACATAGCATGTAGTCCAGAAAGGCAAAAAGAATGGGAATAAAGTCATCAGTGTTTGATTGTTTAAACATTATCATGTGGATACATTTTAAAGGAAGTGAATGAATATTATCATAGACATCCCAAGTCACAAAGTTACATGGAAGTTGAGATAAAAAATTGTTTTGGTTTCCAGGTCCCAACGTAGAAGTCAGTATTGGTGGGCAGAGAGGCAGGAAGCATTCCTAGGCCAGAGAAGGAAGGGAGAGAAACACCAGGGCTGACCTAATTAGGGATTTATTCATTTTTTGCTGTCACTTGACTTTTTGTTTTTGGTGGTAAAATATATTACAATGAAGTTTGCCATCTTAACCATTTTTAAGTGCATAAGTCAATGGCATTAACTACATTCACAATGTTATGCAACCATCACCACTATTTCCAACACCTTTTCATTATTCCAATAGAAATTCTCTACGTTAGGGATTTATTTTGTAACTGGCTATCTCAGAACTTTTTCTGGCTTAAAGAAATGCAGACGTATGCCATGTGTCAGGGCTCGTTCTGCTAGGTGTGTGTCTTTTGTTCACCAGTTTGCTTTCTTCTTTCTCATGTTGCTTGCTTGGCTGAAAGGGTGCCATCCAGGTGGGGGAGGGACAGAGAGCGTCCCGTCAGGGACATAGGAGGAGCTGTGTTCCTCTGTTGAAATGTCCAAATCAATGCTATTTATAGGAGAGCATGGGTAGACATACTTATTTAATGTTTTTTAAAATTAAAAAGCAACACTTTTGACAGTTTAGAAAAAAAGTGAAGAACTTGTCATCACTTTGAACACAAAAATGGTTTCTATTTTTTATATTTATTTTCAGTCGTTTTTGACATAGTTGATAATGATGGATCTAACTTTGAAAAGTAACTTGTTTTTTTCATCTAACATCCCACTTACAAGTTTTCACTTTGCTCAATAGTCTTCATAATAATAGGCCCAGAAATGCATGCAGCTTAATTTACATAACGATTCTACTTTCTTTGACAGTTAGGTTGCCAAAAATTGTAACTATTATAGCCCTGACTGGTGTGGCTCAGATAGTTGCACCAAAGAAAGGTTGCAGGTTTGATTCCTGGTCAGGGCACATGCCCAGGTTGCAGGCTCCAGTCCCAGTAGGGGGCGTGCAGGAGGCGGTCAATAGGTGTTTCACATCAATGTTTCTCTCTCCCCCTTTTCTTCCCTCTCTCTCTAAAAATCAGTAACAAAATATTTTATTTACTTATTTATTTATTTTAATCCTCAATCAAGGATATTTTGAGAGAGACACATCAATTGGTTGCCTCCCACATGACTCCAGCCAGAGCTGGGGATCGGACTGCAACCGAGATATGCGCCCTTGACCAGAATCAAACCTGTGACTCTTTAGTCCGCAGGCCAATGCTTAACCACTGAGCCAAACTAGCCAGGGCAATAACAAAATATTTTTAAAAACTTAAAAAGATTATAACTATTATCGATGAACATTTCAAAACATTTTCTTTTTATATTTTGATCCCTTCTTTCATTCTCATAAAAGAGAGGCAAACACAATGCTCATGTATGTCTTGTGGGCTATGGCTCCTGTATCTTCTGTGAAGATTTGGTACAGCCAGTGGTTGTGTGATTTGTCATCACGATAAACATCAGCTGGATGACATACATTTGGTTTGGTTACAGGTTGTGAAGATCTTAGAGAAGCACGACCCCTTGAAGAACACCCAGGCAAAATATGGATCCATCCCTCCAGACGAGGCCAGTGCGGTGCAGAACTATGTAGAGCACATGCTCTTCTTGCTGATTGAAGAGCAAGCCAAGGATGCTGCAATGGGGCCGATTCTGGAATTTGTGGTCTCTGAGAACATTATGGAGAAACTCTTTCTTTGGAGCTTGAGGCGGGAATTTACTGATGACACCAAAATGGAGCAGCTAAAGATGTACGAGATGCTGGTCACCCAGTCGCACCAGCCTCTGCTGCACCACAAGCCCATTCTGAAACCCCTGATGATGCTGCTGAGCTCTTGTTCAGGAACAACCACCCCCGCCGTGGAGGGGAAGCTTGTTGTCCTGCTCAATCAGCTCTGTTCCATCCTTGCCAAAGATCCGTCCATCCTGGAACTCTTCTTCCACACGAGTGAGGACCAAGGGGCAGCCAACTTTCTCATCTTCTCCCTTCTGATTCCCTTCATTCACCGAGAGGGGACAGTAGGTCAGCAGGCCCGGGATGCTTTGCTTTTCATCATGTCTCTCTCTGCCGAGAACAGCATGGTGGCCCATCATATCGTGGAGAACACCTACTTTTGTCCAGTAAGTCTCCCTCATTGCCATGCATTTCACCCACTCCTCTTGTCCTCTCTTGTGCTAATGATAAACACTTTATCATTCCTTTTCAGCAAGTTGTACTTGGCACCTTCTATGGAAAGATATTTCCAAGAACTCTCTTGGAGGGACCAGGGCAATTCTAAATTGATGCTATTTGGCTGAGCAGTGTCAGCTCAAAATAAGCCAACATTGTGCTACCACATCTTGGTTCATTTCTATTGTGTTAGGAGCTATTTTAGTTTTCCCTAAGAGCATGTCCTGAGCAATTGTTAAGACCTGCACTAGCTATATTTTTAGCTTTTCAGGTTTATTTTGCACCAACGAATCGTGGCATGTGGTGAGACTCCTCACAGCTGGTTTCACAAATGAATTTGTTTCTCAGCAAGATAATGACCGTAATTGTAGATATAAAGCATTAATTTTATTTTTAAAAATAAGTATTTACAGTTGGAGGTAGCAAGAAATAGTCTGTTATGTATAGTTGCTGAATCACTGCTATGGTGAGAAATAAAATGTAAGGTCCTTTGCAGATGTTGGAGTAGCCTAGGTTCAGTTCCAGTTCCAGAAAATAATGGGAGCTATCTGGGACTCTTAAGATGCCTTAGGGCTTTGATTATTATTTTGGTGTTAGTGTTGTCTTTGGAAGGGGGATTTAGATGACAGATTTATATCTTCTTCTGGTTTGTCAGTTATGTTGAGCAATAGCTATTTTTATGTTCCCAACTCAGTGAACATTTCTAGTTTATTTCCATTGTTTGTTTCTTTTTACCAGTTGCATTATTATATTTCTTTATAAATTATGTAGTACCTTGAATATGGGCGATTCTACTGGAATAGTGTATATGTCCACTGGTAAATTTTTTGAGAACAGGCTAGGCAAGTTGACATAAGTAGGTTAGATTTATTGTTAATTGACACTATATGGGTTGTTCTTGACCAGGGCTGAGGGCACTTAGAAGGCATTTGGAAATGTATGTGGCATGTGTTTGGTGGTAATAGGGACATACAGCGACTGACGAGGAAGATCAACTGCCATTTAGTATGAGGGGTCCAGTAGTTTGTGGAATGGTCTTGCCCAGGAAAGAATTGACCTGCTCAAAATGCTAATAGTAACCCCAATGAATAACATATTGTATTTTGCTTTGAGATTTGAAAGCATAATCTTCTTTATATTACTAAATTCCTGTTTCTAATAATAAACCACGGTCACCTCATATCTGGCGAATATTTATTTCAGGGCAAACAAATGAATACAGTATTTTGAAAAATAGAATTGCAATTAAGAAATTCAGGAGAAACATCTGTAACAAAAGTAAATTAAAAACAAAAAAAGAAAGAAATTCAGGGAGCCAAGTATCTCTTCCCATCTGGGTTCTGACCAGTGGAATAAGAACCAATAAGATTGGTAGTCAAATGGGAAGTGAAGAATTGATTCTGTTCATCTGTACCAACATGTTAAGTCTCCTTTCCTTTGAGCTCTCTGGAAAAATAAAGCTTATCTTTTAATAAATGTTTATCTCTACAACACTGCTCATATCCAGCTCCTTCTTTTCTTTCTCATTCCTACCACTCTTGTTTCTAGACCCTAATGTGTCTCCCTACTTCGTTAGCATCTACCAAACTCACTATTTTACATCGTCAGATTAAACTCCTAAGAGAATTCTGATTTTGCTGTTTCATTGCTTAAATTTCTTCAGGAGCACTCCAGACTGTATATAGCAATTGTGGTAGGCAGAATAATGTTCCCTCCACCCACACCCAAGCTGTCTACATCCTAATCCTTGAGCCTGTGAACATGGCTAATAAGAAATTGACTCAGGATTTGAACCTGGGCAGTCTGACTCAAGGACCCGTGTGCTTAACTACTACCTTGTACATAAAATATCAAGACTTACTATGAAACACCAACCATAAAGAAAAGACTGGAATTAAATGAAAAAATAAACACAGATTGGGAGATCTGTGTATTGCAATACACATAACTACAAGTGATTGGTACCCAAAATATACAAAAATATTTGTAATGCTGCAAATTAATAAGAAAATAACACAACAGTGCATTAGAAAGAGGGGCAATGGATGTGAATGAACAATTCGCAAGAAGATTCCCAAAGCCCATATATGAACATATAAAAATATGCTCATCTTCTCTAGCATTGTAAATGCAAATCAACCCACGAAGAGATGCCAGATAATGCTTGTCCAAGTGGCTAAACAATTGGACATGGTAACACCAAATGTTGTCAAGGAACTCTGGAAAACAGGAACTCTTGAGAATGTAAATTGGTATAATAAATCAGGAGAGCAATATGGCAAATTTTATAAAATTGAATATTTGTGTGCCATGTGACCCTGCATCTTCTAGATACCTGTCCTAGGGAAGTCTGGCACATGTCTGCAAGGTACATGCATAAAGACATTCAATAGAATACTGATTTGAGGAAGAGAAAAATAGAAGTATATTAAGGGAAAGATAAATAAACTGGTTTGTTCTACATCAATGGAATACTACTCAGCATTCAAAATGAATGAATCACAGGTATTCACATGTAACTATATCTATTTGTGTGAATAACCTATAAGTCTAAAAACATGTTAAGTAAAAAAGGTAAGTAGCAAAGGTTACATAAAAGATGTTAGTATTTACATAAAATTTACGTAAGTTTTAAGACACAAAGTCTCAGTGTATGCTGTTTTTTGGATATATATGAATACAGTAAAAATACAAAAACAAGTACAGGAATAATATATACTAAATTCAAATCTGTGGTTACTTTTGGGAGTGAAGGAAGGAGAAGGGATAATAATTGGATTGGAGTAGGGTTTAGCTTTATTATGTTTTATTTTTTTGATAAAAATGAAGAGTGCCCTGAAGAAATTATGGGCAAATATTAAAATCTGTTAAATCTTGGGATGGCTTCTATTCTGTTATGTTTTATGTATTTGTAATATTTCATATTAAAAGTTTAAATTTATTAGGACTATAATAGAGCCCCTCTTTTTGTTTTAATCCTTACCCGAGGATATTTTTCTATTTATCTTCAGTTAGAGTGGGAGGGAGGGAGAGAGAGAGACATAGATATGAAAGAGACACATCAACCGGTTGCCTCCCACAGAACCCCGGCCAGGGCTGGGGACAAACCGCAACGGAGGTACATGCCCTTGACTGGAATCAAATCCTCGACTCATTGGTTCTCTGGCCGATGCTCTAACCGCTGAGCCAAACCAGCCAGGGCCTTATTTTTAATGTTTAGATTTTTACTTATGTTGTCAGCAGATTTTACTGAGTAATTATTGCTTTTATAAAAGTGTGTTTTCAAGCAATGTGCAGTTTGTTAAAATTGGAGGAAAAGCAACATCTATAGTTGACCTTATTTTCTAGAATGGAACACAGGGCTTCCTAGTGATAAGTTGCCCCCTCAGGATGGATCCCTTAATCTCATTTGTACCCAGTTTTCTATAATTACATCTGACAACATTATTTAAGAAAAGGGGGGCCTCTTTATGTTGAATATAAAAGCATACTCTATTAACCATCCAGCTAAGGATCACAATTGACAAAAAGCCTTCTCTAATTAGTATGACTGACAAAGTGCGTTAGCATCAGGTGTTGGGAAGAGTAATGACTCTTTCAGGAAACTAGACCACTTTTGGAAACTCCTGTTGGTGTAGTGGACAGGAAGGGCTTGCTGGTTCCTCCTCTCATCTCAAGATGTGCATTTCCAAGAAAAGGAGAATGAGGATACCCTAGGGAACGGTTCAGTTCCAACAAATGGTTGGGGACTCTATGACCTCGTCTTCTTTTGATGTTTTAAAATCAAATATTGATGATGACATCCTTGTCACTTGTTACTTATTGGCAAAAATAGAAGGCAGCGACACATAAATTCAGAAATGCACATTGAAGTAAGCACCCTTTAGGTACACAGCCGAGGGTAGAACATTATTTATCCCATATCTAAAATTTATGAGGCTTTTTATGTTGGCAAGGTGTATCGAATGGTCCCCACCAGGTGTTCTGCTGCTAGCTTCATACTAAAGCCATCTGCTAAAAATCTTTTTGTTTTTGCTAAAATTAACTGGGCACTGTTAGATGTCTCACGTGGAAGACGGACCTTCCCTGATGTTCTGTGCTGCGCACTGGGCACCTTTCTTCCCTCCACTGGACACATTGCTGTGTGTCCAGCGTGGTGGTCCTCTTTTCACATGGCATTATTTCCTGTAATCCTTGCAGCAACTCAGCGAAGAAGCTGCACTCGAGAGGACTTAATCACTGCCTGTAAATGGCAGAACCAGCTTCAACAACTGCGTTAGTCTGATACTAAAATCAATGGTCTCAACAACTACCATGCTGCTCTGCTTTCAGGGAAGTGGTTGCTATTTTAAAATTAAATAATTAATTAATTAATTAATTTATTTATTTATTATCCTCACCCAAGGACATTTTTCCATATTGTGTTCAGATAGAGTGGGAAGGAGAGAGAGAGAGAGAAACATCGATGTGAAAGGGACACATCGAGTGGCTGCCACCCACACGACCCAACCAGGGCCGGAGACAAACTGCAACTGAGGTACATGCCCTTAGCGGGAACCGAACCCGGGTCTCTCTGGACCGCAGGCCAACGCTCTAACCGCTGAGCCAAACTGGCCAGGGCATGTTTATTTTTTAAAATATGTTTTTATTGATAATTTTAGAAAAAGAGGAAGGGAGAGAGAGAGAGAAATGAATGTGAGAGAGAAACATCGATCGGCTGCCTCCTACATGCCCTCTACCAGAGATCGAGCCTGCAACCTGGGCATGTGCCCTGACTGGGAATTGAATCGGGACCTCTCAGTCCATGGGACACTGATCAATCCACTGAGCCACACTGGCCCGAGCAAAGTGGTTGCTTTTTAAATGATCTGTTATTATCCTTATAGTTTTATACGGTGATTAGTTTCTTTTAAGGAGACTCTTGAGAGAAAATGAATAAAAAATATTGGGTTAATACTTAAATGTATTAGGAATAAATATGTCTTATGATTACTTTTGTGTGGTCAGGATCAATGAAAGGCTAAAATTGTGGACGGGCATTTTATTTTTAATTAGCTGTTAAATATCTATTTTTAAATTAAGTTAAAAATGAAATTTAAAAGTAAATAGACTGTGCCATTAAACTCTTGGAAAAAGTGATCTGCAAACCTGTTGTTGCCGCCTCTCTCTTCCCTCATCCTGTTCCCACAGCACCCTCTGTATCCCTTTGTGTAGCAATCGTCTCTGTTGCATCTATTAGTTTATGCCCTCTCATCTCCCTCTCACCTGGTCTGACTTGTTCCCTTCTCTTTCTCTAGCCCCTGGGCCACAGTCGATGTTCTAGAGATACATGTGGATTGGGTGAATGAATCTGAACTCTGAGCAAAGTCTTAAAGAGTAGGATATAAATATGTAATAGTAAACATTTGGAATCTTGTTCTTCAGACTATGTAAGACTCTTTATTCTGCAGAATATTTTCTTCCTTGTTTCTTTGCCTGAAGAATAGAGCAAAGACGTTCTCTAGCCCCACTGGTAATGGCCAGAACGTGGTGCGACTCCATGTCCAGCTGTGGTACCGCACTGCCCTGGACAGACAGACTTCTGTTTGTATCTTAGCCATGCCGTTTTCAAGAATACTCTTTAGAAAAGTGAATATTAGGTGTGTATTATCTTTAATTACTGTCGCTGATGTATGTAATTTGAAGATTAATGTTGCTGTAATTATATTGATATACTAAATAGTTATTCCCAGCTTTTGAGTCAGACAAATTAAGCCCGTCTTTATGAATTCATCTTCAAAGCCTCAAAGTGGTTAAGGAATCGGGTGTATGCAGAATTAAAGCCTTTGTTCTGTGGTTAATTTAGCATGAGTTAGCAAATGTAATTGATTTTTAAAATGCAGCATCAAGGTTAGATTTCCCTTCAAGGAGAACTTTTGGTCTCTGTTCTCTCTTGGTAGAGGTTTCTAATTTATTACAGGCAACACACTCGGGTCACATTAAAAATTGGAATTAAAGTGATTGGTGTGGGGATGTTGAGAAGGAGTTAAGTACTTTAAATAGGGGACATTCTCCTTTGGGACCACAGATGCTTTGATTATGAAAAAGAGATAAATACACTATCTTGTTTACTGTTGTATTTTCTGTACTTACCCTAGTATCTGGCCTGAAGGTGCTTAGTAATTCTTTTTTAATGAGTGAGTGAATAAATGAGTGAATGAAGGTCACTAGGAAACAGAGCAGAGAAATGGACATAATCTTTTGATTTCTCCAATTTTGAAATGGTTCATCTGTTTCTCTTGATGCCCTTCCTCCTCCATGTGGGCTCCTACACCACATGACCTCCACCCCCACTTCCCACGGCATCATCTGGTTTCTCTGTGCTAAGGCCTCCAGGTTCCCATTTCTCAGGCCAGCCCTGTACTCTGTTGTCAAGCTGGGTGTGTTACTCATGGGAAGTACTGCAGGGTCTGATACTCCCCATACCTGCTGCACAAATCATCTGCACCTCCAGTGTGGACTGGATTGAACAGGTGGGGCCAGGTGAGATGGAGAAGACAGCCAGTCAACTAATAAATGCAAGAGTGGCAGTTACGCCCTGGCCGGTTTGGCTCAGCGGTTAGAGCGTCGGCCTGCGGTCCTGAGAGACCCGGGTTCGGTTCCCGCTAAGGGCGCGTACCTCGGTTGCAGTTTGTCCCCGGCCCTGGTCGGTTGTGCGGGTGGCAGCCACTCAATGTGTTCCTTTCGCATCGATGTTTCTCTCTCTCTCTCTGTTCCTCTCTCTCCCTCCCACTCTTCCTGAACAAAAAATGGAAAGGTGTCCTCGGGTGAGGATAAAAAAAAAAAAAAGAGTGGCAGTTACTACACAAAGGAATACAGAGGCTGCTGTGGGAACAGGACGAGGGAAAAGGAGAGGCAACAGTGGATGTGGAGATCATTTTTCCAAGTTTAACATACCTGGACTCACACCCCCTCTGGCTTTCTGTTTCAGATGCCAGGCACTATGGATTAGGTTGTCATATCTTATCTGTCTAATCCTCCCTTTCCTTCTCCCTCTGGTCTGTGTGGTTTGAGGTGCCATCTACACATGGATGGTTCCAGATCTCCGTCTCTAGTCTAGATCCCTCTCCTAAGCACCAGCACCACACAGCTGCTGACTGAACTCTCCAGTGGGATGTCCCTCTAGCTCTCTATCCTGGCCTCCAAAAACCCTGCAGGATCTGACTCCTGCTTACCTTGCCTGGCTCTTTCCACCTATAAGTCTACACTCCAATAACACTGCATTTCTCTTAGTTCCTGGAAGATGCCATCTTTTCTTTCTTCTTTGAGCTTTTTGTACATCCTCTGCTTAGAATATTCTTCCTTGCAACACTCTTTTTTGGCTATCTACTATTTATTCTTTAACTGCTGAGCAAAACTGGCCAGGGCATTTTCTTGTTTTTTGAGGTAGGCCTGTAGTGCTATGAACTACCCTCTCAGGACTGCTTTTGCTGTGTCCCATAGATTTTGTGTTTTTGAGTGTTCGTTTTCATTGGTTTCTAGGAAGTTTTTAATTTCTTCCTTGATCTCCTTAGTAACCCATTTGTTGTTTAATAACATGCTATTTAGCCTCCAAGTGTTTGAATGTTTTTGTGTGTTTTTATTGTAATTGAGTTCTAGTTTCATGCCACTGTGATCTGAGAAGATGCTTGATATGATTTCAATTTTCTTGAATTTGTAGAGACTTGCTTTATGTCCTAACATGTGATGTGTCTTTGAGAATGACCCACGTGCACTTGAGAAGAATGTATATTCTGCAGCTTTGGTATCACCAATTTTTTAATGACCAAGCTGGACAAGGTCATGGTTTTGAGTTCTCACTCACTCTCACTGACTAAGCAGAGACGCTGCCAGTTTAGGAACAAAGCCCTGAGGGAGGAATTAACCCTGTGAGTTTTGGGTTAATACTGGATCAATGCATGTCATGGTTCGCTTGCCCTCAATCCACCTCACACGTGAATGTCAAGTTGACTTCCTCCTCTCCTTTCCTTCCACTGTTGCATCAGCTCAGTCCACTGCAGCTCTGTTTGAGCTATTGTCATCATGTCTCAGTGACCTACAACCCCCAGTTCTGTTTTCTCGCTATCATTTGTGAAGAGCAGATTCAAGTGCTTTTTAAAGTGTAACTCTGCACGTACGTGTCAGTCATGACCTTTAACATGTTTGCAGAAATCCTTCTCATAAAGCCAGTCATGGTTCTTACCTGTGAGATCTTCCGCCCTGGATCGTGTGTCCAGGGCTTCCTCCCGTTGACTAGGGTGTGTGCCTTCTCTGTCGTGTCATTCAGCGTACGGCACTGTAATGCGTGTTTTATGAGTTTGCCCCTCTCCTGAACAGTTTGGGGGCAGGAGTCATGTTTTCTTCATCTTTGTATGTGTCTCCCTCTCTCCCCCATCCCTAGACCAGCATATGCCTGGTACATAAGAAATAAGCGACCTGTATCAACTACATACGTGTTACCCAAATACTCTGGGTGCTGCTGTTCCCTCTGCTGGAGTTGTCCTTCCCTGCTGGCTCCACCTGTGGCATCCTTCCTAGCTAGAGAAATACCCTCTCATACTTGAATACCTTGCTACTTCAAATGCAGTCTTGGGACCAGTGGCATTGCCTCTCCTGGGCGCTGTCCATTGCAGGTGAAGACTTGGGAAAAGAGCTGATTACATTTTCATTTCTGAACACAGGTGCTTGCAACTGGGCTCAGCGGTCTCTACTCTTCCCTGCCTACAAAGCTAGAAGAGAAGGGCGAAGAGTGGCACTGCCTTCTGAAGGACGACTGGCTCCTGCTCCCGTCCCTCGTCCAGTTCATGAACTCCCTGGAGTTCTGCAACGCCGTCATACAGGTACCGAGCTCCGCGCGGACCGCTCATGACGGCCCATCGAGACGACAGGCATTGCAAAGGAGTCGTTCAAACATTCCCGCTTTTATTGTCATGTTTATGGAATATTGATGCTGTACTTGAAGCAGACTGCACGTCCTTGAATGAGTCAAAATGTTAGTTTATGGTTTTCTGGGAAGTTTTAATTGAGAAAAAATAAGTAGATTTTCTTTAACTTCCTTATAAAAAATGTTAATTCTGTTTTGATTATCCACTTAACCATCAAAAATAAGTTCAATGCCTGAGTCATTAAATAGATATGTTTAGGCTTCTAAGTACTGCAAATTATACCACTTTTATTTCAAGGTCTTTTTGGGAGTCTACAAAGGAAAACACTTTATTGTACTTAATGGTGCATACTACATAAAGAATATTGTTATCCCAATTGAATTTAGAATAACTTAAGCATCTTCTTAGCAACACAAATTAAATTTGCTTTGAAATTGGCCTGCTTCAGGGAAAAAAACACCACTGAACTCTACTATATTAGGCTTCTTGATTAGATTTTTACTTTCAGATTTCTTGTTACTGTTTTCAATAAAAATCAGATTTCATATACATTTAAGGATGTTGTAGGTTTTCATCAAAAGATGTTTTATTTTTGTAGTGCATAAACATCACCTTAATATTGGATTTATTAAGAAATCACATTTTCTTCATGGTGATTGTAAGGTGAAAAATGTTAGTTATAATCTGTTTTTCTACCAAATAAAGAAATAGCTTCTGGAAGGAAATGCAAGTACATTACTTTGGTTCCCATCTCATTTTTATTGCTAAGTCAAAGGAAGTTTTATTTATATATAAGATAAGTGGATTACATCTTAAGTTCTTTTTTTAAAAAAAATATTATAGTCTATCAACATTTTCCTGCAGAAGTATATGGAAATAAAAGACATGGAACTATTAGTTTTTCCCCAAATGTACACACAGAGAGATTATTAGTAATTTAAATATGTAGCCTCACTTCCCTAGAAATTGCTTTTTATTTTATTTGACTTTTTTTGTTGTTGTTGTTAAGAAAGAGAAGTAAAGCTAACAGGTATGGTTAAGAACAGAGACGTGATATATTTCATACTATATTTTGAAATTGAGGCCATATACTTTTAAGATTTTTTTTTATTTTTATTTGGGGCTACTATTGAAAAGATTACTTATAAAAGATATTAGTGAGGGTGTGAGGGTGCTGTGGCTGGTGTGGCGCAGTTGGTTGGGTGTCATCCTGTGCACCCTGAGGTCGCCAGTTCGATTTCTGTCAGAGGACATGCTTGAGTTGTGGACTTGATCCTTGGTAGGGGGCATGCAGTAGGCAGCCGATTGATGTTACGCTCTCACATTGATGTTTGTCTCCTTCTCCCTTCCTCTCTCTCTAAAAATCAATAAAAATATTTTTAAAAAGATATTAGTGAGGATTATCCATGCTAAATATATTTTGTAAATCAAATACAGGGAGTCTTGTACCTCTGATAATGTTTTCTTTTTTTGAATAGAATCTATTTTTTTTTTTTATCCTCACCTGAGGACATTTTTGCATTTATCTTTAGATAGAGCAGGAGGGAGATAGGGAGAGAGAGAGGGAGGAAGAGAGAGAGCAAAATATCGACGTGAGAGAGACACATTGAGTGGTTGCCACCCACACGACCTCAACGAGAGCAGGGGCCAAACTGCAACTGAGGTACATACCCTTAGCGGGAATCGAACCCAGCCCTCTCTGGTCCATGGGCCAACGCTCTAACTGCTGAGTCAAACCGGCCAGGGCGAATAGCATCTAGTTTTTATGAAAAGGATTTCTAAATGCCTTCCTCCTAAATAAAATGAGTAGCAGAAAATGCATCTTTAAAATGAGAACATTTTTTTTTTCAGCCAGGAAATAAATGTATTTAATTGACTATTTTCACAGTTATTAATTTTTCAAATTAATCACAAGTTGAGATGGGACATAGATGAAATTATGGGGTAAAAATTATGCTTTCCAGTTTGTGAATTTTATATTTTGACTTCTTATACATCTTTAGTCTATTTTTTTTTTTCAAATAGAAACTTAATATTACCAGTTTTTAAATTTTTATTTGCAAATCCAAGCTATTTTTACTGGAATAAACTATCTGAAAAAATTCCATGGTAGTTTGAAGTCTGAATTATTTGTTAACTATGAAGTAAATGGCCAAAATTTGGATTTCTGTTTTGAATTCCAGATATACACAGCAGTGCTTGATTTTTAAGAGACCTAAAAATTGAATTCTTTGTAATTTTCATAACTACTTGTTTCTCTCTTAGGTGGCTCATCCCTTGATTCGTAATCAGCTTGTAAATTATATTTACAATGGGTTCTTGGTACCAGTCTTGGCTCCTGCTCTCCATAAGGTCAGTGACTGGCTGATGTAATCTTTGATCTGTTTGTAGTACAGCCGATGGAAATGGAGGAAGGCGAAGATGGTGTAACTGACAGAACCGAGACTTTAGCCTTAATTCTTGCTCCACCCACATTCCTTAGCCCTATCAAACACAGACCTTAACAGTGGTGATAGCTTAAGTTGGATGGGATCCATTTGGTGTCACTGAAGACCATAGTTTGAATGTTAAGATAGTCTAAACCGTCCTGGCCAGTTTGGCTCAGCGGTAGAGCGTCAGCCCGCACACCAGAGTCCTGGGCTCGATTCCAGTCAAAGGCACATTTCTCAGTTGTGGTTCAGTCACTGCAGGAGGCACCCAATCGATGTGTGTCTCTCTCGTTGATGTTTCTCTCTCTTTCCCACTCTATCTGAAGGTAAAAATGGAAAAAAGTATCCTTGGGTAAGGATTAAAAAAGACAGTCTAAACCAAGATTGGCAAACAGACCGACCCTGTGCCTACTTAGTTCATGGATGGTGGACACTTGGAATGCCCTGTTAAGCTGTCCTCCAAGGCCAAGACTGGCATGGGGGTGCAAGGTTTACTGTGGATGCAGAGAAGGCCCTGGTGGCAAAAGTCCCATGGATTTGCCATTTCTTAGAACACAATTTTTTATTTTAAAAACTTTGTGACAGCAAACAATGAAAGTGCAGCCAAGTTGAGGCCCTGTCCAAGGTTGGCTGTCTCATTAGCACCAGTCTGAATTCCCTGTGACACTCCCATTTTGTGTAATAAGTCAACTGATAGCTTCTCCATTGTGAGCTGTCAGGAGACATCTATGGACCTAGAATTCTAATTTTAAGTTTTCTTTTCTTCTCTTCTCTTTTCTTCCTTTCTTCCTTTTGTTCCCTTTTCTCCCTCCCTTCTTTTTCCCTCCCTCCCTTCCTCCCTCCCTCCCTTCCTTCCTTCCTTCCTTCCTTTTTCTTTTCTTCATTAAGTAAAGAGACATATGCAGTATCTAGTTCAAGAGGGTCTTTGTCGAGTTATTGGAATCGCCAGCCTTGGTCAGGAGAGAATCAAGGAACTGCCTATCACATACTTCTTGATGGGCCGCTTGTCTTTCTGGATGGGTCCTCATTTCACAGAACCTGAGATGACCCGATTGTGTGATTTTGAGGCCTGGCTGTACACACTGATGGGAGTTCTAGTTTAGAGCGGCAGGCCCCCACCAGCCACCCCCAAACTGCCAAAGTATTTCATTTTGAGGAGATGTTGCCTTGAGGCGTTCCACCGCAGATGCTGTGGGTGTATTCCACGTCCAGCAGGCCCTTCTGCACGCTCGTCTCAGAGCAGCAGGTCTCGGTAGACGGTGCTCCGACCCCCCACTTAGTACCTTCTGAGCTCAGTGCAGCGTTTTCCACACCAGCAGGGTACTTGCTCTGATGAGGGTTTTTGTGTTACTTCTAGTCTCGAGAGGTAATCTTGGATGTGGTTTGAACATCAAAATATGGAGGTTTCCAGGTTATTTTAGCGATTTATGGGCACAAAGGGACCAAGTCTTTGAAATTAAAAATGTCTTGTAAAATATGGAACATATCTTTGAAAACTACACACCTTGTATTTGTGTCCAGGGTGTCTTCCTGTTAGTGTCCTGCTGTTCTGGGGCTGGGGTGGGTGTCTGGAAGTGGACGTCTAAGCCTGTGCATGGACTTTTCCTCTGGAGGAATCAAGCGGTGCTAGTGAAATCCTCTGGCAGTAATTACCCATATACTCTCTCACACATTTAGGCTTGCTTCCACATTTATTCCCATCTTTTCCCTCATTAACGGGGTGAAAGAAAATAATTTCCCAAGTCATTGTCATCGTAGCTATAATTATGAAATTATTATTTATTCAGTATATTTTGTTATGATTAGCATACCTTAGTGTTACAAATATTAATGATAACTCTTTATCCATAATTGAGGATGAGACCCCCCTCCCCCCAGAGAGCCGCCATGAGGCCGTGTGGTCCTTGTGCTTCTCCATAGCACTCTGCACAGTGCAATCAAGTCATTGAACGTGCTTGGTGTCGATCTCCACAGGTTTGCCTGCTTCCTGAGGGTGGAATTTGCACTTGTTTTGTTCACTGGGGTATCTTCAGTGCCGAGCGCAGTGCCTTAGAGTTAGAGGCTGGGTAAACAGCACGCAAATGGAATGACGTTTGTCAGAGTGCCAAGCGGAGTGTTTGCACTTGGCACATTCCCAGACAGTGGTTCATAGAGAAGAATAATAGCTCTTTACATATATTAATTAATATTGTTCTCAGTAAGGCCCATAATTAAAATGAGATTTCAAAAATCATGAAGTTATTTTAATACATGCTTATTGTGAGAAAAAAATACAGTTAATATTGAGTATACCCAATGCAAAGTGAATGTTACCATATTAGATTTCCAATCCCTAATTAAGATTCCTTAACTTTTTTTTTTTTTTTTTTTTTTTTTTTTTTAATCCTCACCCGAGGATATTTTTCCATTTTTTGTACAGATAGAATGGGAGGGAGAGAGAGGAAGGGAGAGAGAGTGAGAAACATCGATGTGAAGGGACACATCGAGTGGCCGCCACCCGCACGACCAACCAGGGCCGGGGACAAACTGCAACCGAAGTACGTGCCCTTAGCGGGAACCGAACCCGGGTCTCTCCGGACCGCAGGCCGACGCTCTAACCGCTGAGCCAAACTGGCCAGGGCAAGATTCCTTAACTTTTATTCATCGTGAACCATTTCTCCCAGGACAGTTGAGTGACTAGAGAGAATATTTCCTCCTTAATTTATTTTTCTTCCTTGCTCTTTGCCTTTTTATTTTGTTTGTGTTTTTATCATTTAGAATTAAAGGCTCAGGAAGGAAGTGTGCCTGGGGGTGGGGGGAGATTAACAGACTTTCCTCTGGCTCTTGGCTTCCTACGTGGTGATGAAGAAAAGAGCCTTTTATGAAGGGTAGGACAGGGCTCAGAAGCAGATGAGGAAAGATGTCCAGAACTGGGTGACTCTTGTGGCGTTCCCAGTGGGAGCAGTCCCATGCTGTGGCCTGTGTCCTCTCCTTTGATGTGGAAGAGACACCCACGGGTCTCAAGTCTACTGCAGGGCCTCTGTCCATAGTTTCACATTCTGGGTCTCTTGCTTTGACGGAAGAGCCTTATTTAATACCCTAAGTAAATTTCCTTGGGTGCTATCTCAGCCCCCAGTTTATGCAAAATATGCTCATTACCTGCCATCAGTGTAGGGAGTTTGCAGAGGTGAATTTAGTCCCTCTGTCTTATACATAATACAAATAAATTCGTACTTAAAAACTTGACCACATCACAATCAATACTCCTACACAATATCTCCGCAGTGTTTCTTAATGAGAGCTGAAGTCATTACAAAGGGTTGTGGGTAGTAAAGGATGGCGGGGGACGGGGACTTGACAGGTAAACACTGTCTCCACCTCTCCTCTTCCCACTCTGTATGTTTAAGGTAATGCCTCCTGTGCCAGCTGTCCCGCTGTGTGCCCTCTTCATCCAGTGCTGTGGGGTGGCCAGTGATTCTCCGGTGTTAGCACAAAGGGGTATCTGGTGTGCTTTTACAGGGCTCCATAGTTTTTTGTAGTGTGAATATACAGGTCTGCAATTCCTTATTCACAACTCAAAAATGCAAACATCTCTGAAAACTGAAATTTTAAAATGATTGGCATGGCGGCCCAGCCCTTTGCTGGACTCTGGCAGCGAACCCGTCCCTGAACTGCCCCGAGGATGTTTTTATCTCACTCGTGTTCATATCTGTATGTTATATGGAAGAAATATTAATGTATTTGATTGTGGAGTTCTGCTCCAGATCTGCTGGCTTATGTCAGATATGGCAGATGCAATGTTACTTTTCTAAAATGCATGGGCTCCAGGGTTTGTGTTTTTTTTTTGTTTTTGTTTTTTGTGATGTGTGCCCCTAGCAGGAACCGAACGCAGGACTCTCTGGTCGGCAGGCCGACGCTCAACCGCTGAGCCAAACTGGCCAGGCTGGGCTCCAGGGTTTTGGATAAGAGAATGGAAGCCTATTTTGGACATTTAGGGAAGGATACATTTTTGGAGATAGGTTAAAATCATACTTTATAAAAGTTATATTAAAGAAAATGGTACCAAGTTATTATAGGTCATTTAGGAATTAGATCTAGCCATAGCTGAGGACATCACATTGTACAAAAATAGTTATTTGTGACTTTAATGGGACAGCCCTCATCTGGCATGAGCTAGTTCTGTTGTCTCTGTATGTTTGATTGATCACAGCTAAATTTTCAAGGCTGCATGTTCATTGGTACGGTTTTATTAGTCTGCATTCTCAGTAGAGTGGGTGCCCAGATAGTGTTGAATGTGCAAGGATTTTGCTAGAGGAAATGCTGGTAAGAGAGAAAATAGGCGACAAGGCGGGAAAGTTGTCAGACTGCAGTGCAAATGTGACCCCAGATGAAGGAGAGGGTGTAAGGTTGACTGGAGTGTCCTGGACTGCTATGCAGAGGCCTGTGTCTCCCAGGACCAGGTCTGCAGAGCATCCTGCTGCACCCAGTCCTGGGCTGTGAGCAGACCTGTGGGAGGTGTGGGAGGATTTCCGTGTAGCCACAGGAGCCCTTGTCACTTACGCTCCCTGTATTGGAGGTCTGGGAGGGGCGTTCCCATGGCCACCGTATCTTCAGGGGGTTGATTTCCATCGTTTTCCTGATTATAAATGTCAGAAAGATAGACCTATATTTTTGCTCAATTTACAGACTTCATTTTTCTGTGCAGAATATTCAGGAGTCAAATGCTCCCCTCATGCATGGGGTGGTTTGGTCAGGATTAACTTGAGAAGAGAACTTCCTGCATCAGTCACTAGGCTGATGCTCTATAGTCACAAACACCACCAACATCTCAGGGGCTGAAACAACAAATGGCTTTGTGTTTGTTCACACAGCTTGTCCATCTTGGGGTGTGGAACGAGCAGCTTGTAGGTCTCGTCTCCACGATATCCTCACTCAGGGACTCGG